CCGGGCTCATTGTCCAATTCTTGTTTTTTGTTTTTCAGTTTTTTTTTTTTTTTTTTTTTTTTTTTGGTACTGAGGATCGAACTCGGGTCCTTGTGTTTGCAAGGCAGGCACCGGAACAATTGAGCTAAATCCCCAGCCCTCATTGTCCAATTCTTGTAACTGTGCAGAAACTTTTTTTTTGCTATTGTGTTCTGTTTATGTTTTTGTTTGAGCTAAGAGTCTCACTATGTAGTTCAGGCTGTCTTCAAATTCACTATGTGGCTTAGGCTGTCCTGGAACTCACCACAATACTCCTGCCTCAGCCTTCTGGGTGCTGGAATTATAGCCATGTACCACCACACCCAGCATAAGCATGTATAGCTCAGAGTTTGCATAGCATGCACAAGGTCCTAGATTAGATTTCTAGGCTTTCATATTTTCTTCTCATTTCTTTTCTTTTCTTGGAGACATGTTGACCTTGATTTTTTTTTTCTTTTTTTTTTTGAGATAAGGTCTCTCTACATAATTCAGTCTGGCCGGTGACTGACTTTGAATGAATTTATCTATTACCGGGAATCGAATTTAGGACCTTGTGCTTGCCAAGACACAGCACTGTTGAGCAACATCCCTGACCCCTGACTTTGAATGTAAGATTCTACTACTTTAGCCTCCAGAGCAGCTCAGCTTACAGATCCAGTTATTTTCCTCACATTCCTGAGTTCAAGTTTATACTCACAGACTGTGGCAGTTGAGAAAGGAGTTTAAACTTCGTTCTTAGCCTAAAAAGAGATCAACTCTAAAGAGATAATAAAACCAAGTAAGATTGTCCTCAAAAGCCAGTAGGTTTGCAGCCGGGCGTGGTGGTGCATGCCTGTAATCCCAGTACTTGGGAGGCTGAGGCAGGAGGATTGCTGTGAGTTCAAGACCAGCCTAGGCTACATAGTGAGTTCCAGGGCAGTCTCAACTACATAGTGAGACCCTCAAAAAAACTAAAAAAAAAAAAAAGTCAGTAGGTTGGGGCCAGGGATTTAGCTCAGGGCTTCTGCCGTCTGCCTCACAAGCACAAGGACCCAAGCTCGATCTCTGGGGCCAAAAAAACAAAACAAAAGCCAGTAGGATTAGGCCATAGAAGTTAATTCTGAGAATCTTTATTTTTAAATTTATTTTATTAGTATATTATTATTCATTTATTTATTTTTGGTTTTTTGAGACAGGGTCTCACTATGTAGTTAGGACTCACCTGAAACTCGAACTCACAGTGATCCTCCTGCCTCAGCCTGGGTGCTGGGATTACAGGCATGCACCACCATGCCCAGTTTGAGAGTCTTTATAACTCTAAACAATTGGAAGGGTTAAAAAAAAATGGGAAGAGGACTGGGGATTTGGCTCAGTGGTTCCGCCACCTGCCTCTCAAGGTTCTCAGTTGGATCCCTGGTACGGGGAAAAAAAGGGGCGGGGGAAGAAGCCCAAAATTGTTCATACTATTGCATAAAATTAGTGCTATTTATTGACACACAAAGCAAATTTTTAACTTGAGAAAATCTCTATGTTTGTATGCTTGCTTGCTTTTAACCAGGAATGGAACTCAGGACCTTGCACTTGCCAGGTAGGTGTGGCATCTCTGAGCTAAATCCCTGGCCCTTTTATTTTTTTGAGATAAAGTCTCCTTATGTAGTTCAGGCTGGCTTTGAGCTCACTATGTAGCCCAGGCTCACCTTGATTTGTGATGATCCTCTTGCCTCAGTCTCCTGTGTTGGAATTACAGATGTGTGAATCTTTCCATTTTAAACTGCTTTAGATTTATTGTATTATTTTGTTCTTTGCACTTTAAACAGATAATGAGTTAAAATGTAGAGATAATGAAGTTCTAGTACTAATTTCTAAGAAAAATATTTTTGAATTTTATTTTTTGAGACAAGGACTTGCTATGCAGTTCAGGCTGACCTCAAACTCATGGCAATCCCATTCCTGTCTCAGCCACTCTAGTGCTGGGATTACAGGCATATGCCACCATGCCTGGCTAAAAAATCCACTTATAATAATGCTTTCAGGGCTCTTAATTTTGCCATAGCTTCTGAATTTGGCATGTTGTTTCATTCTAGGAACCAGAAGCTGCCACCACTGGGTGTGGTGGCAAATGCTTATGTGCCTCAAACTCATGGTGCTTCTGCCTCAGCTTCCCTAGTGTTAGGCCACCATGTCTAGCTTCTTAGACTACTTTCATTTTCCCTCATCCTAGGGGCTTTTTTTTTCTTTCCTATATCTTTTATCCTCTCCTAACTCACCTCAAGCAAGACTTGCTGTTAGCCTGTTAATTTTCCTTTGCACAGGCTTCTCTCATGTTTCAAATATGATAAAACTTGCTTATTTTGTTGTTTTGTGTTTGAGAAGGGTCTAGGCTGTAGCCTAGGCTGGTTTTGTGTTTGTGTGTGTGTGTGCGTGTGTGTGTGTGTATGTGTATGCATGTGTGACACACAGGTCTGGCTGTGTAATTCAGACTGTCCTATGTAGCCCAGGCTGGTCTCAAACTCACTGTCATCATCCTGTCTCAGCCTCCCTAGTCCTGAGATTACAGGGATCTGCCACCATACCCAGCCTTTTGTTTGCTATGCAGTCCAGGTTAACATTGAACTATGTAGCCCAGGCTGGTGTAGAACTCTTAGTGAGCCTTCTGCCTCAGCCTCCTGAGTGCTAGGATTATAGCATGGGCCACTACACCCAGCTTCATTTTATTTATTTATTTTTGTAACGGAGATCAAACTCAGGTCCTTGCCCTTTCAAGGAAAGCAGCAGAACCACTGAGCTAAATCCCTGGCCCTTCATTTTATATCTTGTTAGTAAACTAATATTTGGAGGAAACAAGAGTTACTTTATTTTTTACAGTGTCATTTTGTTTTTGGGTGTTACTTTTAAAAAACTTCAGCCAGGGATTTAGCTCAGCGGTTCGGTGGCCTGCCTTGCAAGCAAGGACCCGAGTTCAATCCCCCGTACCAAAAAAAACCAAAAAACAAACAAACAAAAAAGAAACACACACATTTGGCCGGGCGTTGTGGCGCACGCCTGTAATCCCAGCGCTCAGGGGCTGAGGCAGGAGGATCTCTGTGAGTTCGAGACCAGCCTGAGCTACATAGTGAGTTCCAGGTCAGTCTCAACTACATAGTGAGACCCTGTCTCAAAAAACCAAAAATAAATAAATAAATAAATGTTTTTTAAAAAATAAAACTTCAGTAGCTTCCCAACAGATACAAGATAAATACAGAATGTCATTGAGTTATTTGTGATTTTTTTTTTTCCATTCTGCCTGGCATTAGAGATTGAACTCAAGGCCTTTCCACTACACTCCCCGACCCCTTTTTATACTTTGAAATAAGGGTATATTAAAAAAATGCTAAAAAATGCTAAATTACCCAGGTTGAGCTCCTTTTTTTTTTTAGTACTAGGGAGCGAAATCGGGACCTTGTGTTTTTGACGCAGGTGCAGTGTCACTGAGCTAAACCCCTGGCCCTCTTTCTTTTTTTTTCTGTTTGGACAGTCCATGTAATTCAGACAAGCACTGAACTCAGTAGGTAGCTCAGCTTGGCCTTAACTTGCTGCAATCCTTCTGCCTCAGCTTCCCAAATGCTGGCATTACTGGCTTGTACCACCATACCGGTTTGAGCTCCAGTTTGGGATCCCTTCTATTTTAGCTTTCCACGGTGCTAGGATTTCTGGTGTGCCATCACGGAGTTTTAAAATTTACTTTTGTCTAGGGCGGCCTGAAATTTGGGATCTTCCTGTGTCACCTTCTGAGTTTTAGGTTATAAGCAAATACCACCAAAATTTATCTTGAATTATTTCTCTACACTTTGGAATTTCTAGGCCAAACATTGGCAAATTAGGGCCTGCAGATTAAATCTAACCTGTGAAATTGTCAGGTTTTGGCTTTTGCCCAGGTTGAGTTGTGGTATTTATGCTTTTAATTCGATTGGGAAAAAATGAACAGTACAGGGTTTTTTGTTTTGTACTAGGGGTTGAATTCAGGGCCTTCACACTGAGCTACAATAGCCTCGCCCTTTTTGAATTTTTAGGACAGTATCACTAAGTCTCCCACCCTGGCTTGAATCATGCTGTATCCTCCCAAGATGCTGGGATTACAGTGTGCACCACCACACGCAAGCTTCAGCTCCTCTTTTAATGTAATTTATGCCTAGGGTCCGAATTTCGCAGTACCAATACCTGTCTTACATAACAGACACTAAACACCTTATAACGTAGTATGACACACAAACGCTTTCCAAGCGCTTTCTGGCAGTTTCCTTGGGCCTCTGTGTTCTAAATAGAGTTGCACTGATGTGTCCTTTCTTCCACCATTGGGGGTTTCTTTGGTGAGAAAGAACTTGTTTGATTTTCTTCGTCAGTATCCCCACTGCACCTCAGCCCAGAGGGGCTGCGCACAGCCACCGTTCAAGAACTAGCGGGGTACAGCAGATGGGGGACCCATGTGCCAACCGGGGACTCGGAGACTGCAAATCCCACTCTCCTTAATGAGCCTTCCTGTCCTACAGACAGCACTAACGTCTCAACGTCGGAGCAAAGGCGCTTCCAACGGCGGCGATCGTCCCTCCATAGTCCGGGACGGGGGCCCGCAAGACCAAGGCGATCTGATTCTCAAGTTAGCTGTTCGCCAACTCCAGCAGTACCGGCTTTTCGAATCTTTTTGCTAAGAATAGTTTCCTCAGTGGTCTGAGTAACGAGTGCTTCAGGTCACTTATCAAGGCTCGCGACTCTACGTCCCTTCGCATCAGCCTTCCTCAGGGCAAAGCGAACAGAGCTCCAGGAACTCGCCCGCAGCGCGTGGCCAGGCGGTTAGGAAGCCAACGGTTTCGGCCTAACGCGAGAGCTGAGCGCGGAAGGAGAGGCGGGAACCAGGCAGGAAAGAGGCAACCTGGAAGGAGGGGGGCGAGCAACGAAGGGCGGGGCCGGCGCCGGGAAGCCTCGCGAAGGAGCTGGGAGGCCCCGCCCTTTCCGTAGATATCTCTAGAAAGCCGGGCAGGAGCCTGAAAACAAAAACTGCGCACGCGCGGAGGTTCGGCCCGGGCATTTTGCTGCGTCACCAGCCGCCGCCTGGCCTCACCACCCCTCGCTCGCGCGCACGCACGTTCATTCTCCGTCCTCGCGCCGGTTTTCCTACACTTTCCTCTTGTCCGCGACCAAGGAGCCGCTCTCTGCGCGCGGTGCATTGTGGGAAGCCAGGTCGAGCCCGCCGTCGCCGTCGCCTGTGGGGAGCGAGCAGAGGCCGCGACCGGGGAAACAACGCCGAGTCGCCACCGGAGAGGAGTCGACTCCCCAGCAGACGCCGCTAGAGGCCCGCCCACCCGCTCGCCCGTCCCCCTACCCTGTTCACGATGTGAGTGCGACATCCCGCCGAGGGAATGTCGCCCCGGAGCGGGGCCCAGGCCGCACGGGGGGCTCCCGGGAAGCAAGCAGCTCCCCGCCCTTCCCCCCTTTGGGCTCCTCAGTGGGGCGGTCGTCCCTGGCCTTGGAGTGGGAGGTTCGAGATCTTCGTTCCGCTTACTGTTGGCGGATGGAGGACATTTTTGCTCCAGATGACCGCTTCCCCCACCCCTGAACCGTTCCTCCGCTTGCCGGCGTCAGAAACCCCTCTTTTTCCTTTGGGCGGCCCGGGTCGGTCCTAACTCCACTACTTAGCGTTAAGGCCCTGAGGTACTGGGAGCGTGCGGCCACGCGGGCGCTGGAGGTGTGGACCCCGCGGTGGCGACACCGGGCAGGGCGCACCTGTGGTGGGGACGCGCG